CCCCAAAACCCCAAAACCCCAAAACCCCAAAACCCCAAAACCCCAAAACCCCATGTTTAATGAATAATATTGACAAATAATTTAGCAAAATTATTATCAAACAGACAATATGAATAAAAAGGAGCATGAGACTTTAGCTAAAGAAACTAGCTTATACAAACAGATTGCTAGAACTAGGTAAGTAGCTATACCAAGTATTCTTGTCAAAGGCAGGTGACTTTAGTGGAGGACGTCTTTGCTTTTGTTGATGACAAACGAAAACATTAATATCAATGTTCCTTATTTCAATCATCTGAATTCCAGGTTTATGCTATAAATCTTATTCTTTTGGTCGTTACATTAAGGTTATATTAGCAAAAATGATTTGAAGGGGATTTAGACATAAAATGGTATTACCTGCTCAAATTTGGGTTGTGAGAATCCTACATTAAAATTCCACCGTAACTTAATATAGCAAGCTTTCTTGCTTCTCTATATTATAGATAAAGACTCAGGGCTCATTCTTTATGAGTCTGGACTAGCTTAATGCATGCAAGTGATAAATTTGAGAATTTTATTAAGATAAAACACATATTATTGAAACTGCATCAAAAAACTAATCTGGGCATGATTACATTCGAATGATTCTCTTGCTAGGATTTCTAAAAGAAGATAAATAAATCACTAATACAACCTAAAGGCTGATTCGACCTTCAAAGAATCTGATTTATTGCCAATGAATACCTATTTTCATTAAAATTTGGCTATATTTTCTCGATCTAGAAGTTGATTATTAGTATTCATGTTTTGAAAATGCCTGTTTGAATTCCAGATTCGTGCATTTCACGTAATTTAAGAATATCTTTTATAATTTTCTTTAAAATCTGAGTTAATGCAAGTAGTTCACTCGAAGAGATTTCAGTTCTAATGGATTTATTTATAGACTTTGACTTTTGAAATCAGTTCTCACAAGGAAAAATAATCAAGATAGTTTTAAAGAGGTCGACAATACTCTCTCAAGGTGTTGGTTATTTGGTTTATCCATTTTATAGCTTCTAGCAGTGATAGCTTACCTAGACTGCTCAAGTATTGAAAAGATAAATCAGGCTCAAAGTCGTTTGAGGGCGAAGAGTAAGATTTCTTCTTATTTTCCGTTTAGGGGAGATTTTAAGAATAACTCTATTCATATTGAACCTGATGAGGAGTACTTTTCATGCGATAACACAGGAGCATCTTCTCCTAGTCAGATCAAAAGGGAAGGTATTATTATAACTAATGTAAGGTCACCATCAATCAATGCAATAACTAATTCTTCACAATTTCCGAACGGCTCTCACCAATAATGGTGAGAGTGCTATATTTCTTCAAAATTTGTAAAACTTTTTGCTTCTCTTTTCCTATAATATTTAGGCATCATGGAATCTTCTGGAGTCAAGACTTTTGAGGAGCTGGTCGATCCATAACATCACAGAATCAGTGAAGACATTGGGGAAGAAAAGAAGAGCCAAATCACTGTCTTCTGAAAGCTCCAATGAACGATATTATACACTGATGGTCAAGAAAACAGCCACCTTAAGTCTTTGAGATCATTTGAAGGAGAACCGCCCTCAACAAACAGGAGTTATGGATGCTCAGATGGAGAGAGGATATGACACTCTAAAGCTTATTTGTGATAGTATCAAAAGTAAGGCTCTTTTAAACAGCTTATTTTACCCATCCCTAGCTTTTTACCCGTCCTGAAATTACTGCTGAAAGCCTAATTTTGGAATCACATGTGGCTCTTAGAAAATCAATAATTTTGTTAATAACTTCTATTTTGAGAAGAGATAGTATTAAAAGTAGTCTTACAGCAATTTAAAATGGCTTAAACTTTATTCTTTCCATCCTTAAGGCTAAATTTTACTAAACGGATTCGCCCTTATGAGCAAATTCGAAGTTCTAGCCAACTCTCGGCTGAGGGAACAAGGAAATATAGTTTTTATTTTTAAATCATTTCAAAATATTTCATATTACTATTTTTGATTATTTTAAAGTTCTATTTATAGATCCTGAGGAACAAATAAGCATTACGATAAATGAACCAGAAAAGGAGGTTGAGAGATTAGAAGGATATCACAATCTCGAATTGACCAATATAGTAAAACCAGGGCCAAAGTAAGGATTTCTACTATCAGTGATTAATTTTTAGACTGTCCTTCCAGAGACTAGAGATCAGCCATACTTGTAAGAAATTTTTGGAAAAATAGCTAAATCTCCTCTAGCTCATATAAATGATGTAAAAGTGGACCAGAACTTCAAAGACATGACTAAAAGGTTAGTCGATCTTGCAGATCAAGTCACAGGAGAGCCATCCCCTTCAAAGCGAAAGTCAATGAAACTTGTAAGATTAGGGATGTGAACTTGTAGAAGAGGAAGTCGAAGTATAAGAAACGAAGTGATCGCACTATTACGTGGGATCATACCAATGAAAATGAATACTTTGAAATGGTAAATTCTTTGAAAATTGTGGAAACGTATATTTTTACATAGTTTGAAAACGTACAATTACGTAGTTTTTAGATTTTGGTTGTTTTAATACTATTAACAATTTCTGTAGGATCAGAAGATTAACAATATTTCAAAACCCAGAAAAATATCAGCTTGTGTACATTCTCTTAGTGAGGAGATCAAATCTGGAGCAGTAAGGCTATAGATAATCTCTAGAGCTCAATTAAGCATAAGGAGGATGAGGGTTATTACTTGTTTTCTCAGACAGGTAAGGAGAATTAGAGGAAAAGCAGCGCTTTTGGCTTCTGAAAAAGTATTAGTGATCAAAATTATCTGAATTTTAAGATAGTTATCCTTGCACCAGATTGATCTAGTATTTGTAGCAACTAAAACAATCTCTAAGCTTCCATTCTGCTATATAAATGTTGTATCTAAAGCAGAAAAGTCCCATTGTTTTAAATTAACCAAAAAATTACAGTTTTCTGCCAATTTTTTTACCTAATATATAGATGAAATAAAAGAGGATCCACTAGAAGGTGAGGGTGAGGCATGCATCCAGAGTCTTGTAAGAACTTTCTCCAAAGATTTCTACCATTCCAGGTTTTATCAATGGTTGCATTAGCAGGATAAACTTTTCTCTACTCAATTTTTTTAATACCAATGTCTAACAATTTAGCTAAACTTAAACTTATGACAGAGTGAAAATCTTGAACTCGAGAGGAGGAGAAGTGAAGTGTAAGTATATTCAATAATTTTACAATTTTGAGCTCGATTATGACTAAATTTTATCTCAAGAAATACGGAATTTATCAAAGACTATTCGTGCTCATTCTTCTCACATTGTGTTCGGCTTTTAAAATTTTCATTTTAATACTATGTTTTGATTCTCATGACAAAAATTGAGAATTCGTAGAGTTCTAGATATGAAATGAGCATAAGAAGAGACTCCTGTATTTATGCACATCCTAATTTTTAATTGTATCGAACAATGTTCAAAAGAATCCTTTTTGTGCATTATCAGGCGCCATTTTTCATAAATTTTGGATAAAGAAGTAATCTTTGAGTTAGAGGCCTGTTTCTTAAGCTGTATAATCTCACACAATTCCCATGACTTATCTAATTCTTGATTTTAGCTACACTGTTAGCGGGAAAGACGATGCTTATTCCTTCTCATCACAGTTGAACATGAAAGTAAGCATTTTGCCTAACTCTTCAGCCTCAGCTTAGTCATGGCGTTAAGAAAACTAAGAAGAAGAGACTCAGGAGAGGAACCGTCATCAGCTCTTCTATTCTTCCTGAATGCACAGAATCGCCTTGTAATTTCATGAAGCCGGTTGGTAGCACGAAGAGCTTCTCTCCGATGAGCAAGAAGGCAAGGCAAAAGTCTAAATTTTGTCCTTCTTTCTCAGATACATCTAATACTTCGCCTGCAGGGAAGTTCAGTTCGAATTCATCTACTTTAAAGAGTAAGCTACTCATTAACCCTGGCTTGGCTAATCTTTGTATATAGAAAAGTCTGTAGCATCGCCTTCATCCTTCGCTCCAAAGGCACAGATCATGAAGATGATAAACTCTTTGCAGGAGATCGAGAAAAATTTGTAACTACAGGTTTTGAGCAGCTTCAACGAAGACAGGTTCAAAAGGGGTTTTGGGGTTTTGGGGTTTTGGGGTTTTGGGG